TTTTTGGAACATCCACATGACCTCATCCACGAATTGTGCACATTCTGTGCCCCCCCTCCCCAATGTGCTTGCAATGTTTCCCACATTTGATTTAGAAACTTTTGGGGAAATGCCTTCGCTTCTGTGCAGGCAAGAAAATGCACACTTTTGCAGGTCCCACCCACATCAGGGCCATTTTCCGGCCATTTGCCCGCCTCATATGAAATGCTTGAAAACAGGCCTTGTGGCCACCCGTTTTGTACCACAGGGCATGAGTGATTTACTTGACTGTCCCAGAACTGAAACTGCTGGATCTGACAGAGGATTCATAAGAACACAACAAGAGCCCTGCTGGATCAGACCAGTGGTCCATCCAGCATCCTGTCTGACAGTGGCCAGCCAGTTCCTCTGGACAGCCAGCAAACAGGGCATAGAGGCCGAGGTCTTCTCCTGATGTTGCCTCCTGGCTCTGGAATTCAGAGGCTTAGTGCCTCTGAATGTGGTGGTTCCCCTCAGTCACTATGGCTAGTAGCTACTGATAAACCTATCTTCCATGAGCCTATCTAATGCCTTTTTCAAGCTCTTTCTTCCTGTGGCCATCAGTACATCCTCTGGCAGCAAATTCCACATTTGAATCACTCTCTGTATAAAGTAGTATTTCCTTTTGTCCGTCCTGAATCTACTGCCCATTAGCTTCATTGGATGCCCTCTAATATTCAATTCAATTCAAAACCTTTATTGGCATAGATCAGAATCATAAACGCCCTCTAATATTATGGGAGAAGACGTTCTCTCGGTCAACTCTCTCTGCCCCATGCATAATTTTCTAAACCTCTATCATGTCCCCTCTTAGTTGTCTCTTTTCTACAACAAGAAGTTCCAGACTCTTCAGCCTTTCCTCAGAGCGAAGGGGCTCCAACATAATCTCGGTTGCCTTTCTCTGTACTTTTTCCAGCCCAACTCTCTTTACTGCATGGGGGGGGGGGGGCAGAATACTTCCTCCCCAAACCAAATAAAGCGAAATCCAAGTCTCCTCTTGGAAGGCAGCAGCACAGCCACTGCAAAGGAAACACTCTAGGTGGCTCAGGCCAGTGAGCCCAACCAGAAGCTCCTCCACTTCCTCAAGGCAATTCAATGGCATAGCAGGTGGCACGTATAGACCTCCGGACCAGTCCTTAGAGGCAAGAAATGAGGCTCGCCAATTCTGGGTTAGGAAACCCCTGGAGATGGGGGGGGGGGGCTGGGAGGGACCTCAGAGATGTCAAATGCTAGAGAGTCCGCCCTCCATCCAGGAGAATTGATCTCTGTGGTCTGGAGATCAGCTGGATAGTTTGCTCTAGAGCCCTCCTTCCTGAGCGAAGACAAAAATCTGTGAGCTGGAGGCTAGAAAACTGTGAGCTAGCTAATACTAACTCAGCTTAGAGGGAACACTGGTCCCGACTGGAGAGAGGGTTGCAGGGGGAGGTTAACGCGAAGGGTTAAAGGGAAGAATGTCTACTTCCTAGAGAAGCATCTCGTAGGAAGGCCACGTGACTTGCCGCAGCCACACACCCTTTCTAGTTTTTCCGGCGGAAAAGTCTCCTGTAAATTGCCCAGTGACGTCACCAGCGCGCTTTCCCGGGAGGGGAGGGGAGGGGAGGGGAGGACTTGGCTTGCAAGATTTCCCTTTGGACTCTGGAGAGCTTCCCCAGCTTGAAGCTGTTGTGGGTCTCTCAGGGGCTCCCTCAGGGTTCTGCTGCACATGGGCAGAGTTGCCTGTGCAGGAGGTCCCAGCTCCGGCCCTTGACTCCATAGAGGGATCTGGCAGAGGAGGAAGGTGATCTCTTGGTCCAGGTGAAGACTGTTTGGAGAGGACGGAAGAGATGAGTGGAGAACTGGACCCAGCAGATCTGGGAGCAAGGAGAGGCCCTGATGCCACCGAGGCTGGGGGCAGAAGGGAGCTGTGGGAAGGAGCCGGGCAGAAGAGCCTGGGGGACAGCGTCCTCCCTCCAGATGTGCAGCGCCAGCTGTTCAGGCAGTTCGGCTACCAGGAGGCGGAGGAGCCCCGGGAGGTCTGCAGCCGACTCCACCGTCTTTGCCGCCAGTGGCTGAAGCCGGAGAGGCGCAGCAAGAGGGAGATGCTGGACCTGGTGGTCCTGGAGCAGTTCCTGGCCGTCCTGCCCCCGGAGATGGAGAGCTGGGTGAGGGAATGCGGGATGGAGACCAGTTCCCAGGTAGTGGCCCTGGCAGAAGGCTTCCTTCTCAGCCAGGCAGAGGAGAAGAACCAGGACCTGCAGGTGAGACGGTTTCATCTAGTTGGGAGGGGGGGGAAACTCTCAAAATCCACACAAATTATCCCAGCAATTATAGACCTCCCCCCCACCCACCAGTTGGTTTCCTCTTCCTTTCCTCATCCATCTCCCCTTTCTGGGATCCTTATTTCTTTTGCAGGTTCAGATCATGCAGGAGCATTACCACAGAGCCACTTTTCTGGATATGACTGAAAACACAGGGAACAGAAGAATGCTGTGGGAAGGGACCATGCAGAAGAGCCTGGGGGACAACGTCCTCTCTCCAGATGTGCAGCGCCAGCAATTCAGGCAGTTCGGCTACCAGGAGGCGGAGGAGCCCCGGGAGGTCTGCGGCCGACTCCACCGTCTTTGCCGCCAGTGGCTGAAGCCGGAGAGGCGCAGCAAGAGGAAGATGCTGGACCTGGTGATCCTGGAGCAGTTCCTGGCCATCTTGCCCCCGGAGATGGAGAGCTGGGTGAGGGAGTGCGGGCCGGAGACCAGTTCCCAGGCGGTGGCCCTGGCAGAAGGCTTCCTTCTCAGCCAGGCAGAGGACAGGAACCAGGACCTGCAGGTGAGGGGGGCATAGGATAAGGCCAAGGATATACCCTCCAAATACATGTGGATCTTGTCTCACTAACATTTTGGATTATTTGGGTGGGGTGAATAAACAGGTGGAGCAGGGTGACCCAGTCGATGATGTTTCTGTAGACTTCCAGAAAACGTTTGATAATGTTTCTCATCAAGGCTCCTAAGTAAACTCAGCAGTCATGGGATAAGAGGACAAATCCTCTTTTGAATTAAAAACTAATTAATTAAGAGGGAACAGAGAGTGGGTATAATTGAGCAGTGTTCACACTAGAACATGGTAGGTTGTGGGGTATCGTGAGACTCAGTATTAGGCTTTTCAACTTATTCCTTAATGATTTAGAGTTGGGAGTAAGTACTGAATTGGCTAAGGTTGCAGATGACACAAAGCTGTTCAGGGCGGTGAGAACCAGGGAGGACTGTGAGGTGCTCCAGAAGGATCTGCCAAGGTTGGGTGAGTGGGCATCAACATAGCATATGAGTTTCAATGTGGGCAAGTGCAAAGTAATGCACATTGGATCCAAAAATCCTAACTATAAATATAGGCAGATGGGATCTGAACTGGCAGTAACTGACCAGGAGATACATCTTTGAGTCGTAGTAGATAACTCACTGAAGAGGTTGACTCAGTGTGCTACTGCAGTTAAAAAAGCCAATGCTGTGCTGGGGATTATTAGGGAGGGGATTGAAAACCAATCACCCAGTATTGTAATATCCCTGTATACATCTATGGTGCAGCACCATTTGGAGTACTGCGTAAACTTCTGGTCATCACACCTCAAAAAATATATTATTGCTTTGGAGAAGCTGCAGAAAAGGGTAAATACAATAATTAAGGGGATGGAACAACTTGCCTATGAAGGAAGTTTAAAGAGGCTAGGACTCTTTAGGTTGGAGAAACGACGATTGAGGGGTGACATGATAGTGGTTTACAAAGTTATGCATGAGATAGAGGAGGAGGTACAAAAGGACATTTTTCCGTTCTCACAATACGAGAGCTCATAAGCATGCAATGAAATTAATGAGCACTAGGCTTAGAAAGGAGCTGCGGTGGCTCAAGTGGTTAAGACGATGAACTGCAGGCTGTGGAAGGTCAGTAGTTCAGTTTGAAACCCGAGTTGCCGCATGATGGAGTGAGCTCCCGTCTCTAGTTCCAGCTCCTGCCAACCGAGCAGTTTGAAAGCAAGAAATTGCAAGTAGATAAATAGGTACCGCTTCGGTGGGAAGGTAACAGCGTTCCGTGCGCCTTGGTGTTTAGTCATGCCGGCCACATGACCACGGAAACATCTTCGGACAGCGCTGGCTCTTTGGCTTGGAAACAGAGATGAGCACTGCAACCCTAGAGTCGGACTCTACTGGCTTTCGAGCAAGGGAACCTTTACCTTTACCTTTAGGCTTAGAACAGAAAAATGGAAGTACTGCTTCACCCAAAGAGTAAATAACCCATGGTATTCACTACCACAGGAAGTGGTGGTAATTACAAGCATAGACAGCTTCAAGAAGGGATTGGATAAACATATGGTACAGAGGTCCATCAGTGGCTGTTAACCACAAGGTATAGATGGAACACTTTTGTCTGGGGCAGTGCTGCTCTGTATTCTTGGTGCTTGGGGGGCAACAGTGGGAGGGCTTCTGGAGTTGGGGCCTTGCTGGTGGACCTCCTGATAGCCCCTGGCTTTTGGCCAGCGTGTGACACAGAGTGTGGGACTGGATGGGCCATTGGCCTGATGATCCAACGTGGCTTCTCTTATTTTATTATTGACCTCAGCTTTTGGGAAACTCTCTCTCCGGCCTGTTTCCTGTTCCTCATCTCATCAGTTCCCTCTTTCTGGGGTCCCCTCTTCTGTTTCAGGTGCAGGAGGAGACCATGCAGGAGCGTTACCCTGGAGCAACCTTTTCAGGTAAGGTATACAGGGTGTTTTTTCCAGTGGGTGATCTTCTTGTATGCCCCCCCACACATACTGTGTGGGAAAGATGCTCCACCCCAGCTTCTCAATTCAAAATTGTTCTTGTTAGTACAAGGATTTCTGCTTCTGAATCAGCACCTTGAGTTCTGTGCATGAACCAATATATACAGGAGATATTTCTCCCAGTGCTCAAGGAACTGAAATGGAAGGAATGTCTTCCACGTGCCAATTTATCCTTCACAGGTGGTGTCATGAAACCGGTGATATATAATTCGCCTTCACTTTGTGGCAGATCATCTACTGTGAAGCCAGAGCAGGTAAGTGTGGGACTACAAATCCTTTTATGCCAATAAAGCCTGACTTGACTTGACTTGACTACAAATCCCGACCCCCACCTCTCCCTAGGCTTGAGAGATTATTCCTTGGTCCTTTCACTGCTATCCTGCTCACCCCACAGAAAATAAAGGTACCTCATAAAGGTCTGAATATAACCACAACAGTGTTCCCTCTAAGCTGAGTTAATGTGAGCTAGCTCACAGTTTTTGAGCCTCCAGCTCACAGATTTTTGTCTTAGCTCAGAAAGGATGGCTCCAGAGCAAACTAATTTATGCTGCAGCCAAATGGCTTGCTCACAACTTTAATGCCAGTAGCTCACAAAATAGAATTTTTGCTCACAAGACTCCACAGCTTAGAGGGAACATTGAACCACAATCCTTTTTGGTTGACCTTAGAAGGAAAGAATTGTTACCTTAGCGTGAGAAGAGAGGGCATTAATTTTTTGTCTCTTTTCAGGGTCTGGTGACCTTGGAGGAGGTGTCTGTTCATTTCACGGAGGAGGAGTGGGCTCTGCTGGGTCCGGACCAAAGAATCCTTCACAAGGAAGTGATGGAGGAGAATCGTCGGAATGTGGCCTCTCTGGGTAAGGCTCCCTTGTCCCTTGACTCACAGGTGCCTGAGGGAGAAATGGCTCCTTCTAAGGAGGACTGTCGTAGGTTTCTCATGGGGACTGTCATCAGGGGTGGGGAGTAGATCAGCTCCACACACAGGCAAAGGGGAGGCTTCTGCATGCCTAGTGGACTCCTGAAGTATTCGTTTGTAAGCAAACAGAGTTTGTAAACTAAAAAGAACATTCCCCTAAATGGCCTTTGAGAATTGAACAAGTGAACGGCCATGGAACGATAAGGGTCAGACAGCCCAAAGGGAAGCTTTTCAACCGGGCCAACTCATGAGCTATTCTGTGCTCATTCAAGGAATGTAGAGATTAAAAATCGCCTTCGTAGACAGAGGAATCAGATGGAAAAGTTTTTGTAAAGCAAGTTAGGCATTCTTAGTAAGAGTTCAGCTTTTTGGGGATCCATCACCAACTTTTCCTGTCCTGGTAGGATTGAGGTGTCTCTTCAAAGGGAGAGGAGCCCTTAGACAGCGGCCCTTCATCAGAGCCACATTAGATGGTGTCAGTCTGGGATGCTGGATTTTGTGTGCCTTTGAAGGGGGACTAAGATATTCTATCCTGGAGGCTCTGTCTGGGCTAAGGCTTCCCTTCGCTGTGCAAAAGTTCTTTTCTTCTCTGTGTTGGGCCACTAACTGGATCTGATCACTAGCAACCTCACCTCCCATTCCCTACATGTTCCAGGAGTTTACAAATTTGGCATTTCTTCTTTTTGGCAGTAAGAGGGGCAGTGGTTCGTATAGCCTGGTTCAAAATCTGCATGTTTCTTAGAGTTGGAATATGTGGAAGTCGCTGCTCTGTTTCTTTCCCTCAAAGAGAGACTTCTCTTTCCCATACCTGATTCCATATTCAGAGTGGAAGAAGCAGGAGATCTGCTTTTCCAAGACTCAGAAGAAAGGAAGATATCAGCAGGTATCTGCTTCCTTTTGTCTTGGAAGAGGATAGGACTTCTTTTGGGATTACTTTGCCTCCTGGAAAATGGAGTGATTTCTCATGAGGAAACAGCCAGAGAATGTCTGTGAAAGTGTTCTCAAATGTGAAAGAGAAGCTGAAACGGGGACAGAAAGGCCGGTTTGTTTGTACTTCAGCTTGGGGGGAAATGTTAAGAACATAAGAGACGCCAATGTTGGATCAGGCCAAAGGCCCATCCAGTCCAACACTCTGTGTCACACAGTGGCCAGAAATACCAAGTGCCATCAGGAGGTCCACCAGTGGGGCCAGGACACTAGGAGCCCTCCCACTGTTGACCCCCCCCCCAAGCACCAAGAAGACAGAGCATCACTTGCCCCAGAGCCCCTATCTATACCTTGTGGCTAATAGCCACAGATGGACCTCTGCTCCAGATGCTTATCTAATTCCCTTTTGAAGCCGTCCATGCTTGTAGCCACCACCACTTCCTGTGGCAGTGAATTCCATGTTGATACAGGACTCAGTTTTATTCCACATGGATTTATTTATATGCTGCCTCTCCAGATACCCAGTTGATGCAGCTCACAAACATCTGCAATGCTGTAAAACAGTGCACACGACATAAATCATCAACATTAAAATTTAAGCTGGGGGTATGAGAACAGTATGAAGTATACATTTAGCAGCCTGACAGATATCCACTGAGATGTCCTCAGGAGAGAAGCAGACTGTCAAACAGCTAAAAAAGATAAAAGCCCCTCTGAGTTAAAGATGGTTTGAAAAGCAGTGTTTTGACCTGGTCCTTCAAAGATAGGTAGGCTCCAGGCATGCTTTGAAGGGACCACCACTGAAAATGCACTATTTCTGCTGACCACCTAGTCAGCAGGATTTGGGAGATGCACTAACTGAGGGGAGGACACTGTGGTAGAGACAGAACGTCAAGTACCCGGGCCCTGTCTAGGGCCTTAAAGGTGATAACTAGCACCAAGGAAGGTGCCCTGATTGGTCCATCTAGACCAATAGGATCTCTTCTGACAGGCAGTGGTGCTTTAGAGAACCGGGGGCTGGACCTGGGATCAGTGCTCCCTCTAAGCTGTGGAGTCCTGTGAGCAAAAATTCTACTTTGTGAGCTACTGACGTTAAAGTTGTGAGCAAGCGATGTGGCAGCTGCATAAATTAGCTTACTCTGGAGCCCTCCTTCCTGGGCAAAGGCAAAAACGTGTGAGCCGGAGGCTAAAGAACGGTGAGCTAGCTTACACTAACTCAGCTTAGAGGGAACATTGCGGGATATGATAAGTCCAGTGCTGGTGATGTGTTGGTGGGCAGATCATTTATTTTAAGGTATCCAGATCTCCCAGATCATTTATTTTAAGGTTTCTGTTAATTCTCCATTTATCCTACTCCTTTTAAGGAGTGGAGGCAGCATTTGTGAGGTTATTCCATTTACCTGCACGACATCCTTGTGATGCGGAAAACACTGGAAGTGATGGGCCCAACCCCACTCCAGGGCACTGTACATGTGGGAAGCTCACCTTGGATCTTCATAGTTGGGGTTTAAAATCCTACTCCATTTTGTCTGTCCAGCAAAAGGTGCTCTGTAATGTGTTTGAATCCAGGAAGAGATTGGCCAGAGGTCTCTGTGGTCCACCCTCCTGTTTCCCATTGTGGTATACTAGAGTCCCTAGAAAGTTCAGAAGCAGAGGAGCAGAGCCAAAGCCTCCCCCTGAGATGGCCCTGCTAACAACTAGCCTTCTGATAGATGCCTTCTCTAAAAGGGAGGTTCCACTATGTCCCCTTGCCTCTGATGGAACTACCTGCCAAGGAAGACTCAGAAGCCGATCAGTATGTGGCAAGATTTGTCTCCATTTGCAGTGATCTTGGTCCTGCCAAGAGCAGTTAATCCACTTCTCTTTTTTATATAGTCTTCTCTCTCTGTTCCAGAGGTTGATGGTCCCCAGAACAAGTCGAAGAGAGAACCACAACAGTTCCTGTTGGAAGAAAAATGGCAAAGAGGAAACACTGAAACAAAATGGACGAGGGGAAAGGAATCCTATTCTTCCCAGGGTGCTGAGTCCCAGGTATTTGATATGCACTGGGGAATCCACACAAGGGAGAAACCGTATAAGTGTTTGGACTGCGGAAAGAGCTTTGCTTCGAGTTTCAGCTTTACTGCCCATCAATCTATCCACACTGGGGAGAAACCATATAAGTGTTTGGAGTGTGGAAAGAGTTATGCTGAGAGTAAAGACCTTACTACCCATCAAAAAATCCACACAAGGGAGAAGCCATATAAATGCTTGGACTGTGGAAAGAGCTTTGTTTGCAGTGCCAGCGTTACTGCCCATCAATGTATCCACACAGGGGAGAAACCATATACATGCTTGGAGTGTGGCAAGAGCTTTGCTCGGAGCCACACTCTTACTGCTCATCGACAAATCCACACAGGGGAGAAACCATATAAATGCTTGGACTGTGGAAAGAGCTTTTTTCGGAGTGACAACCTTACTACCCATAGACGAACCCACACAGGGGAGAAACGATATGAATGCTTGGAGTGTGGAAAGAGCTTTGTTCACAGTGCCAGCGTCACTGCCCATCGACGTACTCACACAGGGGAGAAACCTTATAAATGTTTGGACTGTGGAAAGAGCTTTGTTCACAGTGCCAGCGTCACTGCCCATCGACGTACTCACACGGGGGAGAAACCATATAAATGTTTGGATTGTGGAAAGAGCTTTGCTCGGAGTGACAGTCTTACTGACCATCGACGAGTCCACACAGGGGAGAAACCATATAAATGCTTGGACTGTGGGAAATGCTTTCCACGGAGTGACAGCCTTATTGACCATCGACGGACCCACACAGGGGAGAAACCTTATAAATGCTTAGATTGTGGCAAGACCTTTGCTCGGAACAACACTCTTAGTGCTCATCGACGAGCTCACACAGGGGAGAAACCATATAAATGCTTGGAGTGTGGCAAGAGCTTTGCTCGGAGCCACACTCTTACTGCTCATCGACAAATCCACACAGGGGAGAAACCATATAAATGTTTGGACTGTGGAAAGAGCTTTTTTCGGAGTGACAACCTTACTACCCATAGACGAATCCACACAGGGGAGAAACGATATGAATGCTTGGAGTGTGGAAAGAGCTTTGTTCACAGTGCCAGCGTCACTGCCCATCGACGTATTCACACAGGGGAGAAACCTTATAAATGTTTGGACTGTGGAAAGAGCTTTGCTCGGAGTGACAGCCTTACTGACCATCAACGAGTCCACACGGGGGAGAAACCATATAAATGTTTGGATTGTGGTAAGAGCTTTGCTCGGAGCAACACACTTAGTGCTCATCGACGAATCCACACTGGGGAAAAACCATATAAATGCTTGGACTGTGGAAAGAGCTTTGTTTGGAGCACCCGTCTTACTTCACATCGACGAATCCACACAGGGGAGAAACCATATAAATGCTTAGACTGTGGAGATCATTTTGCTCAGTGTAAAGACCTTACTATACATCAACAAAGTCACATAAGGGAGAAACCATATAAATGCTCGGAGTGTGGAAAGACGTTTGCTCAGAGTAAGTACCTTACTGTCCATCAACGAATCCACACAATGCAGAAACCATATACATGTTTGGACTGTGGAAAGAATTTTGCTCGGAGTGACAACCTCAACGCCCATCGACGAATCCACACAGGGGAGAAACCATATAAATGCTTGGATTGTGGTGAGAGCTTTACTCGGAGAGACACGCTTACTGTTCATCAACGAATCCATACAGGAGAGAAACTGTATAAACTCTAGGAATGTGACAAGTGATTTACTTGGAAGGGAGACCTTACTGGCCTTCAACAAATACACACAGGGAGACACATAAGTGTGTGGTATGTGGAAAGATGTTTGCTTAGAACTGCACCCTTGCTACTCTTTCATGTATACACACTGACAAGAAACCATATATATGTTAGAAATGTGAAAAACCTTTGTTCAGAAGGAACATCTTGTGATACAACAAAAAAAAAGAATCCACACAATTGAAATTACATAAATTCTTGGCTCAATTGCACCCTTAATACTCATTGACGAATCCATGCGGGAGAAACCATATGAATTTTTGGTTGGTACAGTGTGGTTTAGTGGGTAGAGTGTCCATCTAGGAGGTCCAGTTTCCAATCCTCATTTTGTCACTTTTGTCGTCTCACTTTGGGCCAGACACATTCTCAATCTAGCCTCCTTCACAGCATTGGTGTGATGAAAAAATGGGTTGTTGTGAGGAAACAACAGATTAGACTCGCCTTTGTGGATAAAGGCAGTGTCTCTTGTTACCAATCTAGTTCTGCCTGCAATTATAGAATCATAGAACCAAAGAGTTAGAAGGGGCCATACAGGCTATCTAGTACAACCCCCTGCTCATGTCTCCCCTCAGCCTTCTGTTCTCCAGACTGAACATTCCCAAGTCCCTCAGCCTTTCCTCATAGGGCTTGGCCTTCAAGCCCCTGATAATCCTCGTCACTCTTCTCTGCACCTGCTCCCCATTCTGTCCATATCCTTTTTGAGGTGAGGCCTCTGGAACTGCACACAATACTCCAGCTGTGGCCTGACCAAGCCAGTGTACAGCGGGACTATGACATCTTGTGATTTGGATGTTATACCTCTGTTGATACACCCCAAGATCACACTAGCCTTTGAGCTTTCCCAAAGGTGTGTACTTCAGATGTCAGCTTGCTATTATTTCAGTCCTGTGTGCCATCTGTCCCTGATTCCAGCCTGTTCCCCCCTCACCTCACCCCTGTGTTTCTTCTGGGAGCTTCTTTCCCCCCCCCCCCTTTATTCCCTAGGCTCAGAATCACATTTTATCTGCCAGCCACCTGTAGGGATACTGTGATATCCCCACTCTGTAGGAAGTTATTCCTTTATTTAGAAGACTAATATGACCCTACTCCAGAAAGCTGCACAAGGTACCTCACAACTTAAATAGGGGCCCCGGTCACATGGAGCATTAGCCACGCTACAGGGATGGAAGATAGGCGGATTTTCCGGGCGTGATCTCACCGCCACATCTGGGAAGCGTAGAGCTCCCGTGGCTCACCCGAGGCTTCCCACGGAAAACGCGTGGTAAAAAACTAGTACCTCGGAGGTACTAGTTTCCGGAAACCGTGGGGCAAGGGCGGGCGTCTGATCGCATTTCTGGTGGTAGTTCCGGTGCCTGCCCATGTCCCCTAGCAAAAAGGTATGCACACACTTTAGTTTAAAAAAACAACAACACACAACTGAGCAGCTCACTAAGACTTGAGTCGTGCAGAGAAAAGGAGAGCAGCCAGAAGAAACGCAACACAAAGCGCACGGCTGGAGGCGAGAGAGAAACAGGTAGGGGGAAAGGGGGCAAGGCAGAAGAGAAAGCGGCTGAGGCGAAGCCCAGAAAGGGGGGGGCTGCGGCGGCAGAGTAGGAAGTCCGCTTGGGGAGGGGGGGGCAAGCCGAGGTGACTAGACACACGGGTGCGGGGGGGGGCGCAGAGGCTGCGGGATCGGAGCCCCCGCGCCCAGGGAGCCGAAGAGCCAGGAGGGTGGCACTCACCGTGGCCTTGAAGACAGGCGCTGGAGGAGGCAGCGGAGGAGGAGGGGGCTGAGCCATGCTGCTTTGCCCTCTTCGTGCGCCCACCAGCTGGCTCCCCGACTGTTGCCCTTACAAAACTACTGCCCGCCCCCTGCCTGCCTCACTGGGGGGGGGATGTGTGCGTGTTACTTAAGGGCCCAAAAGACCTAGAGAGAAAGAGAGGGTGGCCTATGCTTATTATTCCATTTGCACTCCAGTATCTGTCAATGCTGTTTTGTTTTTCTTTCCTGGGAGCAAGCCCTGTTGAATAAACTTGAGTCGTTTTTGTTGTTCTACATTGTGTTATCAACAACTCAGTAAGAGCCAACATATCTTTAAATCCTACGGAACATACCTATGATCTTTCATGCTTTCAAATAAAGTGTACAGCCTGTGAAATTGTTTTCTGTTACCACCACAAATATGTACTCCAAGGATCAGCTTGGCCATTACTTCAGTTTTGTCCACCCTCTTCCTTTAATTCCTGTCTCCCCCTCTGTGACCCTTCCTGGAGTTTCACTACTTTACCTTTTCCTTCCATCAGTGAGAATCTCAGAGTCAATTTTAGACACCTGTAGTCATGCTCTGATTTCCCCATAGGTTAGGAAGTCACCCATTGGCTCCTTTAGAGAACTGATATGCCCCCTCTCCGGAGGCCTGCTCAAAGCAGCTCACCACTCAAGAATAAAACCAAACTGGCAATTATGAACAAACCAGGAGTGGGGAAACTGCATAAAGCAAGAACTGAGCAGCCTTAAAAACCCTATAAACAGTCCTCAGGCCAAGATCAGACCTTAGATGGAGCCCTTTAGTTAAAGCTTGGGTCAAAGGAAGCCTTTCTTCAAGGCATTAGGTGGCCAAGAGACAAAGAGGGAGAGGAAGGCCTGTTACCCTGGAGTGGTTAATCCAGAGTGAGACTTGTGCCTAAAGCAGGAGAAGGAGTAATTGTTTAAAATGGTATGAGAAGTGGTTTGAGAGAGGTTTCCCTCTTCCTTCCCAGAGTGGAGACACACGTTTCTTTCTCGTGCCCCCAGTCAAATAGATTTGCAGGTTTTTCAAAAATCTCCCGCACCCAGTTTATTCCAGGGGAAAGCAGGATGGTGTCCACCACACCAGCAAAGGGGCCGTGGCTCAGTGGTAGATCACCTGCTTTGCACAGTATGATGAGGCCAACATAACTGCCAGGTCCCCCACATTTGCATCTGGGCAATCCAGCTGTGCTGCAGCTGCTGTGATTCTGGGCAGAATTCCACAGTATAAGCCAGGAAAGTGATATCAATCCCAGTAGACTCCCCGCCTATCCAGAAGGTTTGGGGACCCTGCACAGAACTGCACAGCAACTGCTTTCAACAGCTGAACACCTGGTCCGTTTCTCTGTCCAAGTCTCCGGCTGAGGTCTTTCTTTAAATTGTAGATGCTGAAAATTGACCTTCTGGAACCTTCTGGGTGCGTTCAGATGGGGCATTTGCAACGGTATAGGTGCTGGTTGGAATCGGTGTACTTACCGGCGTTCACATGGCGAACATCTGCCTTCCGTCCCTAACCGTTGCAAAGAGCTTTAAACCGTTGTATTCTGCCACTAGGTCCCCAAGTGTGGTATCCTGAGTGCAACGGTTGTAATCGCTGTACCCCCCGTCTGATCGCTCTCCACCGTTGTAAAGCCACTTCCGTTTGGAAGCCCGAGGCTTCTGATTTTCGCCCGCCATTTTTTTTTAGCTCGGCGATATGCGCTTGGGTGAAACTTCGCCCCGGCGTTTGTTTTTTAAAAAAAGAAAAGGTCCTTAGTTTAAGGTTTTGGAGGACTCCGGGACCTCAAGGAGGCCAGTTTGGTCTTTAAACTTTAAAGGTAAGTCCTCTCTTCAGGGCATGCTTTTCGGTACAGGGTGTTTTGCGCATGCGCGAAGATCGCCATTCTGTGGATGGCTGCCTATGCGCATGCACAAACTGAGTTTAAAAAAAAAAAAAAAAACCGCTGACGCCCGCTGTGTGTGAACGGGCATACAGTGATGGGCTCCGCAGACAGGAGGTAAGTGTGATCGCATTTCAGCCGGCATAAGCTGCACCGGTTCCAACCGGTGAGAGGGGGGCAATGTAGGACTGCCATCCGGATCTCTGATACAGCTTTCCCTGGCCAAGTTTCCGGATGAGTTTCCTTAAATTGGAGATGCCAAGGATTGAACCTGGGACCCCCTGTGTGCCAAGCTGATGCTCTACCACTGAGCCATGGACCCATTTGTATGAGAGGGGGGGAATGTGGGACTGCACTCAAGCACTGATTTATGACGACAATCCCATTACACTGCCAATTGCATCACGCTGTACTTGAAAAGTCCCCTGACCAATGCTCCCTCTAAGCTGTGAGCAAAAAAATGACTTTTTTACTACTGGCATTAAAGTTGTGCGGTAGCCATTTGGCTACTGCATCAATTAGTTTGCTCTGGAGGCATCCTTCCTGAGCTAAGACAAAAATCTGTGAGCTGGAGGCTAAAAAACTGTGAGCTAGTTCACACTAGCTCAGCTTAGAGGGAACACTGATCCTGACCAACAGGGCTGTGTGGCGTCCTTCCTATCTTGGGGGGTGTCGGGGCTGTGTTTCCTTTAAATCACCCTCTGTGACATGCTAGCTTATGGGGGGGAAATGGTTTTGCTTTTTAACTCACACTTTGTGTATACGAACTTGATAGTTTCTTCTGCCACCAGGAATTTAAAATTCCAGCTCTCTCTCCTTTGGTAGTGTAACCCAGGGTCTGGGCACTTCAGAGGACAATGTGGCCCTGAGGAAGTACTGCACTGAATTCTGGGAGATATTTAAACAAAAATGGATTTATTGAAATATAAGAACATGTTTTGTTGTTGTTCAGTCGCACAGTCGAGTCCGACTCTTCGCGACCCCATGGAGCAGGTCACGCCAGGCCTTCCTGTCTTCCACCGTCCTCTGAAGTTTGCTCAACTTCATGTTCGTTGCATCGATGACACTGTCTAACCATCTAATCCTTTGCCGTCCCCGTCTTCTTTGACCTTCAATCTTTCCCAGCATCGGGGTCTTCTCCAGTGAGTGCTTCCTTCTCATTTGGTGGCCAAAGTATTTGAGCTTCAGCTTCAGTATCTGGCCTTCCAGGGAACAGTCAGGGTTGATTTCTTTTAGGATTGACTGATTTGGTTTCTGGAAAAAGGAACTTGTAAAATATAACTAGCAAGCTTGGTGTCACACCAGTCTCTTAGACACCAAAATTCCACTCTGACAGGATTCTCTCTCTTTCTCACATATGCAGCCAAACCGGCTAAACTCTTTGACTTTTCCACACAAGATAAAACATGGGTCTAATCATACAGTTTAGACACAGCTCATTTCTTTTCCCTGTAGATTCTCTCACAATACTTTTAGAGTTCCACACAGACCCTCTTTAATAGCTCTTCCACACTTCACTTTCCAAAGACACATAGAACAATGAACTCTGTCATAAAACACACACACACAGAAATTCCTCTCGGAACATCTCCTTCCACACTCTCAGTCATCAACCAGTCACAATACACACATCTCCCCCTATCTCCCTCCTTGTATTACTGCAGTCAAACTAACATTTAAAGGAACACACACACACATCAAAACAAGGAATCATTACAGGCTGAACATCTGCAAACAATGAAGTGACAGCAAATTGGTTTAATGTTCCCAGCTGGTGAGCAGAAGGTGAACTGAACTGGCCAGTATTCAAGCTTTTCTACCATACAGGGTTCTGACGCAGGACGGCATGATATGTCCCCCTAATAGACACATCCTTGACACACCAGAACATAAAAGCGGTCTTTGCTTGTAGCTGCCACATATCACATGTCATGAAGGGGATTCCATATATTGTGAGAGTGACTGGAATGGGAGATATCTTGCAGTTCTGGGGTTCACCTTCTCTTCGGCCAAATGATTCTCTCTTCATGTGTTCTCCCCCCCCCCCCACCCTTCCTTTGCACTCTGAACACCCTGGCCCAGATTAGCTCCACAACATCCCTCTACTTTTTGCAATGGAGGCCAAGCGTTACTCATGAGAAACCAGGGAAAGGCAAGCAGCACAGCCAGAGAGGGTAGAATGTATCCCCTCTGAAGAAGTATGACCTCTTCCCTGCCCTCTGACAGATCCAGTTCTGAAATTAATCCTGATTGTGCTACAGAACGCAGCTGTCTGGCAAGACACAGAATCTTAGCCAGACTTACATTCAGGGGTCATTTCCTGCAGGAGCGCACAGGAGCGGAGCTCCCGCAGTAAGGAGCCCAGGGGGTGGGCACATACAACAACCCCTGCCCCCTGCTCCCAGCAACCCTCAGTTGGGCCACAAGGAGCAAGAAGCAGCCAGGTAAATTGCAGAGTGCACCCTAATTCCACCTTCAGGTACAAGCTCTCCCTCCTGCGTCCCCCCCCCCCCAATAGCTAGCAATCCAAAACAGTCCAGTGGAGCTGGAGCAGGGGGTGTTGCCTTCTGACACACTTCCGGTGATGTCAGGGAGTGTGGCATATGCAAATAAGTTATGCTAATGAGCTCCTGCACCTCTTTTTCTACGAAATGACCCCTGCTTACATTGCAGGGTTGTTATAAGGTTAAAGTGGAGAGGAGAAGAAGAATGTAAGCCTGTTTGAAGATGGGTGGTGGTGGTGGAAGATAGGAAGGGTGGGGGTGGGGAAAACCCTCAGTTCGGCATAATGCCATGGAGTCCATCCTTCACAGAAGCCGCTTTCTCCTGGGGGAATGATTTCTTTGTTATGGAGATGAACAATTCCAGAAGATCTCCTGGTCCCATCAGGGGAATGGCAACCTTAGCAGAGCTGTTCATTCATATATTCAAACTACCATTAAATGTTGCAAACAGGCACACCTCTAGTTTCAAATAAAAGGGGCAGCCTAGATGTACCACCAGCATGGAGCCCCCCCCCCCCCCCCGTGGGCTCTCCATCTTTTTCCTC